AAGTACGTTTAAATAAATAAATAAATAAATAAATAATTTAATTATGTTAATTTTATAAAGAAAAAAATTTGATCAGTTGGAAGATAAATATGTACACGTGTACAAGATCACGTAAATCCATCGACAGTGATGATGTAGCGGAAGTTAGACAAGTGTTATCAACTTAATCTAAACACGTAATAGAATGAAATAGATTTATAAACAGGAAACTTATCTTTATTAGTCTACTGTTTCCCTTTACTCAACAGAAATTTGATTAAACACATCACCAGGAATTATCAATAAATATCACGTAACTCAATTGTGGATGTGTTCGTGTAACTTTGCGTTATGAGATCATCAAACAGAACTTTGAATTTTTCCGTATACTGTATAGTTACATAGCGATTTCACACGGAACCCCCATATTCATAAATAAAATGCATTTCGCAATAAATATAGCATGTCCTGAAAAAGCTGCAAGTTATGTATATTTTATTATCACTCTACTCACAACTGAGTGTATACATGCCTCCAAGCAAAAAAAAAAAAAAAAAAAAAAAAAAAAAAAAAAAAAAATATCCCACAAAGTGCGCCCTTTTTTAAGGACATACGCAATGTAGTTTGAACTTTATTGTCTTTTTCCCTGGAGTTGAAGAGTTCCAATACTTAAAGGAACTGTGTGCTACATTTTAATGTCTATATATACTGTTGTACACTTCTTCTAAAACAAGTTTTGATAAACAAAACATCTAGAATATATGTTTAGTAATTTTTGTATATTTTTCTTTAAATTATATAAGAATTTTCATCCATTGATATCTTTTCAAAACCCCTGGTAATGCATGCTGATTTTTTGTCTATGAACATCTGATGGCATTATAATCTTAAATTAAGAATATCTTGAAAAATTATCAGTAGGTAAGGTACGTTGCGTATGTCCTTAAGATCAAGATCACAACACTTAATCAAAGTACCGAATGCACTTTGAATCTTTTGTTTTCTCCATATAAACACTAAATTTTATTTTCAAATAATTCCATAAATGGACTTCATGCAGCATTCATGGAAGCCTGGAAACATCCCGTTACCGGAGAGCAGTGTTAATTTTAGACATTCAAATAATACAGTTCTACGTGCAATTCTCATATGTAAATAAATAAGTAATAAACTATATAATCATTCTTTTTTCAGTGGATGTAACACAAATTTTATTGTCTTAGAGACAAATAGCGAGTGAGGTAAATTCGTTTAATTCGGTTCTATGTTTTTCCTTATTTGTATCATTCCGGACATTCTTTTAAGCTTATTTAATTATGAAATTAATGGAGGAAATCGTGTTGTTTGTCTGTTGAAAATTATATTCTTTGATGAAAAAGTGTTTTGAGGTTTAGCTTGCTTAGTTTTAAAGAGTGCCTTGACTATTGTATGTTTTTTTTTCTATTCTTCTTCCTTTTTTTTTAAATTGGACCTGTTATGTGTGTTTTAATGTCAGTCTACTAAAGTCTACTAACTAGGTGCATGTGTATAACCTCAAAAAAAAAAAAAAAAAAAAAAAAAACAACTCCTATAAAGTGCGTAAATAAGATTCGATATTTTACTCCTCAATTCACGATACATTTGGAATTACCGACTTCCAAATAAAACTTAGAAGATTTCCCAATCATTTTTCAGATTTAGTGATAAGATCGTTGAACATTATCCGAGACATTTAAATGTTATATACACCGATGTTCTGAGATTCTGAGGCGGGTGTCTCGTGGGAGTGAGGCTACCTCATCACCCTCCCCCAGTCCCATCCTTCAAATTTTATTTATTTTTTAATTAACATTTTTGTAATCGATATAGGATAAATAATTAGGTTCAACGCTTACACGCTTTGGGAAATAATGCCGAAAGAGGAACAACTCTTTCAGTATACCTCTGTCCTCCACAAGAATTTAGAATTTGCAAATTTATGTAACAAAAAAAGGAAAAAATAATAATAAGGACTCCGTACTCACTCGTTTCACGTCTTTCTCTGCAAATTTAAACAAAATGTTATAAATTGTTTTCAAATATTACTGTGACAAGATCGATTTTCTAATCCCTTTCCAAATTACAAATTATATTTCACCGGTAATTAAAGGAATCTTTCTCTTTTATCTGTCTCGTGCATTGTTGATCTATATAGTTATTTATATAAAATTATAAATGAATTACGAAAAAAAAGTTAAGAACTAGTTTTGACATAGGTGGGTAAAGGGAAAAGGCAGGATTTTGTGAGGAGAAGGGCACCGTATATATTCGCCTATAAGTCTGTCCGCCTATAAGTCGGTTGTATTTTTTGAGGTCATTTTGGAGGGATTTGCCATTGATTCGCTTATAAGTCGGTACAACTTTTTGTCAGAATCAGATGACGATTTCAAATCAATGCTCTAATGTTTTAACCTGATTTCTACAAATGAGGCCGATTTTTAATTTTAAATCATTGAAAAAAAAAAACACAATACACACTTAATATCAAAATAAAGTTATTAAAATATGTAAATACCTGTACTTTATGTACGATCTTAGAATACATAAATGACATAATATATCCAGACTTTGTTTAAAGTGTATAAAATACTACATTTCGCCGTCCAGAAAAATACTAATCTTTTTATGACTCGCCTATAAGTCGGACATACAGTTTTGGACCAAAATTTAACTCCCAAAAAACCGACTTATAGGCGAGTATATACGATAATGAGTGCCGAAAAGGGGCTGGTGCAGTATTCACCACTATTATTATTTCTTTTTTTAAGCAACTTTTTTTTGAAAGAATGTTATACATGAGAACAAAAACCATATTATAAGCATGTTGTTTCTGGTACATATATTTATACATTATGTTTATAAGAACAGTTTGTCATTATATAAAATTAACTATTTGTTATTCAGATATATTAATTGTACTAAATGATATTTGTCTGGTGATAAAAAGAGGGCAAATATCCCCTCTTAAATCTGTCATTTAGACAATCGTATTTTAAAAAAGAATTGAATTGAAATTGCAAAATAAAAAATGCTAAATGTTCCCTTTTGAAATGAAAGCGACACGATCAATACCAAATCTAATCAAAATAAAATAAAAATGCTAAATTACTGCGTATCTGATGCAGTTGCACTAAGAGATCAATCTGCCTTTTTTGTATACCATATTACACCTAAGCAACCTAGTATTCCAGTGAAATTGTTATATATTTCCTTTACTGGGATTTGTCCAAGTTAAAAAGAAGCTTTTTTCCCAATTTCTTTTTTAAATACAATCGTCCAATATCTCTTTTCTCTAAATGACACGGTTTTGGAGATTTTATCCACAGAGCTAAAAATATGAACATTTCTTTAATATTCAATTTTTTCCAAAATAAAAATTAACATCTGACTAATCATGGCCGTAGGAACCGGGGACACGGAGCCCCCCCCCCCCCCAATAATTTTGCCGATATATAGAATACTATAGAAAACATAGCTACTATATATGCATGTGCCCCCTCAATAATAACGTCTGATGACCTTTTTTGATGCCCCCGTATCGAAGATTCGGGGGTACATAGTTTTCCCCTATCCGTCCGTTTGTCTGTCTGTTTGTCCGCAAAAACTTTAACATTGCCCATAACTTTTGATTGGTTGGAACTATGGCTTTCATATTTCACATGTGTATTCCTTTTGACAAGACCTTTTTTTTGTTTGGGCACCAACATATTTGACCTTTTACCTTGACCTTTGAGTTTGACCCAGTTTTGCAAAATTTTACCGCACTTTAACCTTAGCCATAACTTTTGAGCAGTTGGCGCTAGTGCTTTCATATTTAACATGTCTATTCCTTGTGACAAGACCTTCCTTTGGATACCAACAATTGTAATCCATTGGCCTTGACCTTGGAGTTTGACATACTTTTGAAAAACTTTAATCTTGGCCATAACTTTTAAACGATTGCTAGGGCTTTCATATTTCACATGTGTATTTCTTGGGAAAATGTCTTTTCTTGGGCACCATTAATTTTGACCATTTGATCTTGACCTTGATGTTTGACTTACTTTTGAAAAACTTTAACCTTTTTCATATCTATTTAATGGTTGCTGCTAGGACTTTCATATTTCAGTGGTATATTTCTCGAGACAAGACCTTACTGTGGGTACCAACACATTTTATTTGCATTCGAGAAAGTTTAACTTTTGCTATAAGTTTAACAAACACATTTTGTTTTTTGTTTTGTTTGTTTGTTTGTTTTTTTGCTTCTCGGGGAATTTTTGATAGTAATAGCGCCTCCCCAAACTGATAATGTATGGATGTGCCCCCACAAAGTGAACTTGAATTTATTCCTACAGGCCTGCTAATCTTGACATTTATATTGCTAGTGATACTAAATTTTGATATCTAATATGTCTTATTTTCAAACCACCAAACTTATTACACTTTCTCAAAAAAAACAAAAAAAAAAAACATTAAAAATCATATAAAACGGCTTATATCGGTCTTTCAATGTTAAAATTATATTTCAAAGCATAGGGGGTTGTCTTCCGGATTGTTAATAAGATTCTGACACTTTCGGACAAGAAATACCATGCTTAAAAAACGCACCACACCTAATGTATTATTTATGTATCTAGGTGTGTCGAGGTTTTTTTTTTTTTTTTTTATTGTATTTCTTGTCTAAAAGTGTCAGAATCTTTATTGTTACAACTTTTAAGTATATTCAAAGTAGATTCAAATTGTTATTAATTTATTTTACATTTAACAATCCGGAAGATGAGCCTCTATGTTTCAAAAGTGAAACTTATTAAATTGAGGCATAAACATTAAGTGCCCCGTTATATCAATAAACAAAAGTTATAGAACAATTTATTATGCATTTTGACTGAATTTGTGTAATATAAGACTTTATTTACATAATGAAGCCAGTATAAATAATTTATCTTATCTTCACGCCGGGTAATGCCCTATCCGGTTATTTATAGCTTTTCCTGTCATTAGCTACCACGTACGCAGCATCGACTTATATTAGTGCGACCCAATATAGATAAACATTGTGGTCCGATCACCGATGCAGTTTTGCAATCTTCGTGTGTGTGGAAGTGTGATGAACAATGATCTATTACACTGAAAAAGAAATTAAGGAAGAAATAGAAAAGGGTAAAATTATTATCCTCAGAGGAGATCAAGTGTATGATGTGACGGACTTCGCCGACAGACACCCAGGTGGAAAGGAATACCTGGTCAAACATGTTGGAAATGATGTTACACAACAAATGCAAAGTGAAACTTATCATCATCATAGTTTAGCAGCCTATACAATTCTTAAGAAATATTGCATTGGAAATTTAATGCAGGTGAGATATATATGAATATAAGAAATTTGCGTTATTTCGGGTATACAGTATTGTGTAAGCACACCGGTGTCGTGCTACGTTTGTGTAATGTTAATAGTGTCACGAGTGAACTAGTCGCACACTCTGCACATGAACTACTTGTTTTGCAATTAACGAAGAAAAGGTATTTGTAAATGTCAGCATGTAAACTTACTACTGGTCATTCTAGTCTTATCGCTAGCTAAATGAGCGGTAGGGAAGAGAAGAAGGCTGGAGACAGATTTTTAATTGTTCGATTTTTTTTCCTGGTGTACGTGCAAAGGTGCATTCCGTAGATCTATGTGCTGAATTTTTTTTTCTAAACAATTAGGAATAGGATATAAACTTTTTTTTTACCTTGACTCATCACTTAATTGTTTTTCTTTTCTTTCCCTCTTTTTTTAATAGCATTTCTTATTCAAATTAATCTTTTTTAAGCAAACTGTTACAATGTATGTTTTAGAATATTATTATTAAAAAAAAATTAAATAAGGTCATAATTGATATTTTGAAAGAAATTGGTAATTTGTCCTCAAACTGTTTAAAACCTGCATATTGCATATATATATATATATATATATATATAGAGAGAGAGAGAGAGAGAGAGAGAGAGAGAGAGAAAATGAGTCAGCATTTCGAAATGCTTGTACATGAGGCCATGTTCATCATGTATGTCCTTTTTCCCAATATTTTGCTCTCTGTCCCCTGGTGCTTTGTGTTTTTTACCATATACCATGTTACTACAAATTAACTTGTTAATTGCAAGTATATATACCCTTACAGTGTAAGTGTTGGATAAAGTCTTCAATGAACATAAGGATGAACTATTATTTTATAATCCATTCTTAGAGCATAATACCATAGTATCCACTGATGGGCTAAATTATGCCCATATGACTACATGTACAGGTGTGTATATGTAGGTATATATATATATATATATATATGTGCGTATGTTAATTATATACCTGAAAAATCATATCATCATATTGCAAATTTTTATTAAACAACCATATCTTAAGGCTTTTTGCATACTAACAGTACATTAATGATTAAGTTTTTTATATATAGTTGAACTTCATTATCTCAAATATCAATAACTCAAATACACGGATATGTCAAAGTTAGTCCCTTCCACCTTTTCTTAATGTAGTTTAACCTTAATAATGAGAACTCTTTGAGGTCTCAAATATTTTTCTTGGTCCCACTGAGTTCTGTAAATAATGAGGTTTGACTGTATATTATATTCCTATTACATCTTGAATTTGTCTGATCATGTTTTAATAAAATTATGATAATTATTGGCATACACAAGGTGTACATGTATGATTGTAAGATTTTGTATCAATTTAAGCCAACATTTTTTTTCTCAAAATTTTGATAGAATGATACTGGTTATGCCTACAAGTAAAGAGTAAATATAGTACTGGATATCTGAGAAATCAACACTTAATTTTTTTCCTCCTTCACAAATTTTACCCATCCTTTAAGTTCATATAACTCTGAATAAGATTAAAATTATGATATTTTATGAATGAACACATCAACATGTGTACTTCATTAAGACTCTGTCCATATAACTTTAATATTTTATAATTGCACACTTATGATCCTGAATGATGCAATAAGTCATAAAGTGATAGTAATTTTCAGAATTGCTTTTACATAATGCAATAAGTACATACACTACTATATTAAACATTGACCGGTCACATGTACCGATAGATACAGGATGACTTTCATGTGAATATGAGTAAATTATTGTTGTACATGTTGTAGAACAGTATCAAATGCAATTCATATTTTAAACTTGCTTATTTCACGATATCTGATTAATCCTCTATCATATGACACAAGTTCTTTTTTCATGCTTCCTAACATCATTTTTATCTATGTAACATTAGATTGTTGTGAAAACCAATAAAAAGATGAGGACTCGGGTGTATTTGATTTTACAAATTCACACCTGTTCTCTATCACTGATAAACAACTTCTGGAAATGAAGTAATATTGTTGGGAATTGAGTAGATTAATTTATTTTTCGTTCAGCCACCAATTGTTAATTTGGTCTTTTTTCGTTGTTGGTGTTTGGTCTTGTATTTCTTCTTATTGATCCATTTTCAATTGCTGTACTATCTGTACACTGAGGATGCCTTTTCCTGTTGCATTAAATCAGTACTGATTGAAGCAAACATTAGCTCTATTATTCTTGATCATTGCTACTCTAAAGACTATATTCACAATATATCTTCTCTTTGCTGACTTCTGAAGATGCGATAAGCACAGCAAGACCACCAATAATTTGTAACATATTGGTTATTCTACATTTTTTTTATTGGTGCTTGAATAAACAGAGAACTGAAATGGGAAGACAATACATATATAATTATACCTCTCAATACTTGTATGTATCCACTGTGCATATGTTGTACTAGAAGTATTTCTAAAGACAGTCCAAGTGGTACATATAAAGAATTAGTTTTCATTTTTTCTATGTTTGTAATAATTACAACTTATGACATAAAGAATGCAGAAAAACTATACTATGTATACTATACAGCATACAAGGGAGGATCCAGGGTTTCTAGGGGGTGGGGGTTGCACTGATATGCAAAGCTGTGTAATTACACTAAACTAAAACCCCTACCTGTCTCTTGAAGAAACTTTGATACATATACATGAATGCATGTTGTATACTTCACACAAACTAACAGTATAACATGTAACATATAATGTATTCTCCCCCCCCCCCCCCTTCATCTATCTTTCAGTCTTTATAATTTATATATACATTAGGCATTCCCTCTGACATAATGACAACCAAATATGGACAGAATGAAATAATGTTTCAAAGATCACATGACATATGTGCAAGATGCAATTAAGGAGTTATTATCTCATTATTTACTAGTTTTTCTGTTATTGACATAACAGTGGTTTATAATGTTGCTTGGTTTGTTGGGTTGTAATATTTATTTTTTTGGAAACAAAATAATGAAAAATTTGGGCAAACTTTAGAGGGGGACAATGCATCCCCATGTCCCCAAATCTATAACATTCAAACATTGTGCCATGTTCAGTTTTGTCAGCCTTTCTTAAAATCAGTTGATAGGGTTGAAGGGATTTTCAATTATTTTTAATTTAGGGATGAAGTGAAAGATGAATTTATTTAGGTATTTCACATGGAAATCATTCTCCATCCTTCAACCCTCGGGCTGATGCATTGTGTTGGTCACAGATATAAAGTGTTAAATGCACTGTTCTTATTTTTAGCTGTTTGTTATTAAGCATGCAGTACTTGCAGTGTTTGTTTTCTTGATGTGTTAAGGTAACTCTGTTATGTAAATTTGCGGAAGAGACCTCTGGCCTTTTCAGTCTTGGTCCAAAGTGATTATTCCTTTGAAGTTGAGATAAAATTTCTATGTGACTATGAGGGGAAAAAAAATGTAATCGATTTCAAAGAGGAAAAAAATCTAAGTATATATGAAAAATTAAAGCATAATGCTCAGCATTTATGTTGTTAAGATGGAAAATATTACAACAAAAGTAGTCTCTCATAAAATACATATTTATGTATATATACTGTTATCTGACCTTGGTAAATGTTTAGAGACTTGCATATATGGCTATCTGCACACATTCCTTGATTCAAAGTTTGTGTAATAGTTGCACATTTGTAAGCATGGCATTTTTGTACCATTGAATTAGTGATTTTTTCAATATAATCATTAACAGGAAATGAAATAGGAACCTGTAAGTGCTAATTGATGATATTTATCCAGTAAAATCCAATACCCAGTCTTGGTTTTTCTGTTTATACTGATGCAGGACAGCATTTTTACATGCACTGAACCATAGAAATCATGACACCTCCCCTCTCCCCCCCCCCCCCCCCCAAAAAAAAACCCAAAAACAATATCACAATTAAATTGCATATGAAATATTTGCCAAGGTTATAGGTGCCTCCCCCTTCCCAATAATTTCAGAAATGCATGCAGTTTTCCCTAAGAACCAGCTACCGGCCAAATTGACTGCTTCAATTGACAAAATTGCCAGTTTAAAATAAAAAAAAAGATGTGTTTGTGAAAACTGATGCCCCCCTATGGCAGCTTATGGCGAAGGTTAAAGTTTCTCAAATGCAAGTCAAACTCCAAGGTCAAGAGATCAAAAATGTTGTTACCCATAGAAAGGACTTTGTCAATGGATATAGGTGGTAAATATGAAAGCCCAAGCAACAGCCATTCGAAAGTTATGGTCAAAGATAATGATTTATAAAAGTGGGTCAAACTCCAAGGTCAAAGGGTGAAAATTAATGATATGCAGGGGAAGACCTTGTAATAAGAAATACCTGGTACACATTCAAAATATAAAAGTCCTAGCACCAACTGTTCAAAAGTTATGGCGAAGGTTAAAGTTTTTCAATAGTAGGTCAAACTCCAAGGTCAAGGTCAAAAGGACAAAATTGTTGGTATCCAAAGGAAGGTCTTGTCATAAGGAATGTACTAGTGAAATTTGAAAGTCTTTGTACTACCTGTTCAAAAGTTATAGTGAAGTTTTTAAAAGTGGTTCAAACTATAAGGTCAAGGTCAAAAGGTCTAAAATATTTACAACTATGGAAAGGTCTTGTCAAGATGAATATACATGTGAGATATGAAAGCCCTAGCACCAACTGTTCAAAAGTTATGGCCAACGGCAAGGTTTAAGTTGGGTAAAGTGTTGCAGAAGTGGGTGAAACTCCAAGGTCAAGGTCAGGAGGTCAAATATGTTGGTACCCATAGGAAGGTCTTGTCACAAGGTATATACATGTGAAATATGAAAGCCATAGCTCCAACCAATCAAAAGTCATGGGCAATGTTAAAGTTTTTGCGGACAAACAGATAAACAGACAAATAGACAGATGGACGGACAGGGCAAAAACTATATACCTCCAGATCTTCGATTACGGGGGCATAAAAATCAAAATTTAATTGTTATATGGTCCACAGAGATTTGTCATAAACTTCAACCCAAAGACTGCAATTACAATTGCTCTCTAACCATTTACTTTGAAATGAAGGGGAAACACTGACATGTATGTAATATACTATAGAAAAAAACATTCATTATAAATGTGCCCCCTCAATAATTATGACAGAGGACATTTCCTTTTTCTTTTTTTTTTTGCCTTGTCAAAGAATTTTTGTTTGCACCAAATGCCCAATCTAACTGAAAATAATTGGTTGTGTTCCCCTCCAAAGTTTGTTTCTAAAATTGTGGCTTGTTTATATATAAATCATAGTGCAAGTTGCTATAAAATTCACAGTATAATAAAAAAAAATTCATTGATAGGCATGTGCTAGTGTTCTGAATCTTGAATTCTGTAATATGTTACATTAAATAGATCGACTAACAATTAAAAAAAAATGAAAAAAAAAATTCATCACAATTCCCCAGAATTGTTATAGATAATGCTGAGGTACTGTTGTAACTGTAATAAGTACAAAGCATACAACCTTACTGTATTGTTCAATAGTTATTAATTATGTATGTGCTTGTATTTCTATCTTTATATATATATATTAAATATATATCACTATTGGGGTCCTGAACAACCACTTTTTGTTGATTCAACACTTTTTCGCTGTGCATCAGATTTCTTAATTACCAGAGACGAGTTTTACTGATCTGGGGTCATTATCACAAAGGAAGAGTTGCCTAGGCAGAAGTGTTTTTTTTTGTATGAATTAATAAAGTGGAATTGCGGCCACAGAACATACGCCACCATGTCAGCTGATCCATGGATCTGTAGCTGTCTGGTCCATCTCATTGATAGGAGTTAAACATTAGATTATCTATTTTAATACATCTTGTTTCTGCAGCTGATACAGTTAGTAAATTTTTATGTCTGGACTTTAATTTAGAGGATGTAAAGTATTGCTTAATGTCCTGAGATTTCCAGGAAAACGAAGGCAGCTTGCATTCAATTACAAGTATAATTCTGTTTGACCAACATCAGGGTTCATCTGTATTTCCCATCAAATTGTTGGGTTTATCTAGTGAGCAATGAGGATACTGTGTCCCTGTCTATCAGACTGATAATCTTTAGCTCAATATGCATGCCTTCTGTTTTATTGGTTAGTGATTATGATTACAGTGCTCATCAGACTAAATACTTATAATTCTAACTGCTTAAAGCTAGTAGGGAATGTTTCCATTATTTTAATTTTGGACAATATACACACATATGTATATATAGGGTATTCAGCATGTAAGCAAAAACAGACATGGCACAAGTCATTAAAATATGTGTTCTATTAACCACCAGTGGGGAAAAAATCTACATGTAAAAAGTCCATATTTGAAAAAGAAAATTCAAGTTGTGTCTTTAATAACAGAGAGACATTCCAGTGGAATAATTTTATTACCTTGTAAACATTTGTCACGTAGTGTGTAAAATTAGGTTAGGATATGCATAAAAATGATTTATTTGCCTTCTGTAGAAAAATTAATTGTGTAATCTATTTCTGTTGTAGAAAAATGTAAATCTAAGGCACAGAAATGGAACAGTGAAAAATGGAACAGTTAATGGAACAGCAAATGGCATTTCCCACAGTAATGGAACCGTCCACTCTTATGGTCATAGTGTGCACCATGATCATACATTTCCAGTAGGTTTACTAGAGAAAAACAATTAAACTGACACATTACATCATACATGTATTTGCACTCTTTTAATTTAGAATGACATTTTAGGCATGGAAAAATGATTGTATCAAGAAGTTCTGTGCAATTTACAAGATAACTTATTGAATTATTTAGTAGCGTTGAGTTTGATAGGTAAAAAAGATGTAATGGCAGGAAATCACAGAGGAAATGTTTTTCTCATTGTCCTGATAGCGTAGAAAAATACTGTTGTCACTTAGGATGAATATCATATATTGTTGTGTTGTGCAGAAACCATAGGGATGATAGCAATTATTGATACAATTGCAAGAAAATTAAAAAAAGGAAAGTTGGTGGGTGGAGGGAGTGGGAGACAAGGGGGTGAAAAAAAAGATATTTAATGTGATAAAAAGATCTCAATTAAAAAGAAGATTTGAAAATTATGAATAAAATCTATGAACTCCTTTTTTTAATCATTAGACCTATTTTACTACTTAAATATAAATGCTGCATGTAGATACTCGCAACTGCATGCAGTATTTATTATATTATGCTAAATGTTTTATGAAAATACAAATAAAGGTGAAGCATGCATGCATAGATTCTGCCCAGTAAGTATTTTTCGGAATCACCCATTGTCAAGAAATGTTGACTGTTGCTAAGTTCTATTGCACTGGAGGGTGTGGTTTCATCATTCAGAGGGTAACAGTGTTTTTAACAAATGTTTCACATTCAATTAATTTACATGAAAGTGTAATATTATATATATATGGTATTGCATGTAGTTGAGTGTAACATTGAAAATTTTCACCCCAAGAAAACCATTGTCGACCGAGGCGCAGCTGAGTTTGACAGTGGTTTTCTTGGGATGAAAATTTTCAATGTTACACTCCACTACATGCAATATTAATTATATTATACGGAATTTTTTATACAAATACATATGATAGTGAACCTTGCTCGCATAAATTCTGCGCAGTCACTATTTTTTGGAATATCACCTGTTGTCAAGCAATGTTGACTGTTGCTACGCTGGAGGGTGTGGCTTCATCATTCAGCAGGAAGTAGTTTTTTTTAACAAATATTTCCTGGCAAATCAGATTCAACTAATTTACATGAAAGTATAATATTAGAACATATTACCCTATTCTCTTTAGAGAAGAGTCAGGCTAAGTTAGCATAACTACTTCTCTAAAGAGAGTACATATTAACTTAGCTTGCTTATTAATAGATCATAGTAGAAAACTGTGTTTATGATTAAGTGATGTGTAAATTATTGTTGAACATATCACATATTAGTTGGATAAATAGATCTAAATAAAAACTAGAAATCTGAAAATATTTTGTTTTTGATGATGTGTAATTTTTTTGTAGGATGATCCAATTGATTGGAATGAACCAATTCTATTTCAAGTTCCTAAACTAGGTGACCGTTATTTTGACTGGGTCCATCGACCTGTCGACGGTCATTTGCGGTTGATGAAGTCCGAGATCTGTGAATACTTTTCCCAGTGCCCATGGTATGTGGTGCCATTAGTGTGGATCCCAGTGGTTCTCTTAATGTTGTACACCTCCTATTCAAGTCTCCAAGATGGACCATGTTCCTTTGCTGTCACTCTTACTAAAGGTAGTGTATTTAGTAATCATTAACTCGGTTTTTATGCATATACATGTATATTTTTCATTGCAGGTCATATTGATCAGTTATGTGCGTATAGGGACGTCTGTCTGATCTAGAAATGAAATCAATGAGCGCACGTGTTACCTCCACTCATGGGTTCTCTTTTAAAGTTGAACATGCAAATAATTTTCTCAAACATCTACATAGTTTCTTTTTTTGCTACTAAGTAATAAAACTATTGAGTTGATATATATTAAAATTGTAACTTGAAACACTTGTGTTGCCGGCATATTGTCAATTTCATAAGTAATCCTCAATCTTTGACAAAAATTGTCAATTATTTTTATCAATTGATTTGAATAAATCCACATTTTGTTATCTGTGCAGCTCTATTGGAATAAACAAGAATTATGAAAAAATATAAATAGCTCCAAGGGCTTCTTTAGTCTTATAATAATACATGGTATGCCTCATTCACCAGAAAAGTTTGTATCAATGCAAAATCTGCCAAAAATTATAGGTTATAAATATCTCTACACAGGAGTGATAAAAATAAATATACAGAGTTCCTTATTGGTCAGTGGGAGAAAATATGGTCGGACTATTTGAAGAAGGTTGAGTACATGCCTTCTGTCACGTAGATTTATACTGTGTAGATTTGCCTGTTATTTACATTTTTGCCTACTTTAGATTCATTATGTTTACAAATGCATCTGTGTGGCTTTAAAGCTTCACAAAAGAATTCTGATAGGGCTAATTTACTCTTTTGTCTCAATGGAGGGTTTATTGTGTTTTTTTAAAAAAAAATCTGTGTATACATGTATATATACTTTAAGTTTCACAAAAGAAAATCTGATTGCACTAACTTCAAAGGATTTCTAAAAATAACAAAACCCTGAGGTCTTAAAAAATTATGCTTTAATCTAAAATGTCAAGTGCTCAGCTGACTATAGCCTTAGATTTTTGACTAAATTTTGCTTGTTTCATTGTAGAAGAAATTTTAAATTCAAAATATAACTATAGAAACTTACTCAAACAATAAAATATCAGTTAATTAAAGGTATATAAAACAAGAAATTCAGATATATATACTGGTTAGTATGTGATTTGATTTTAAACTTTAGAGTTGAATTTGAAGTAACCTAATTTATGTACATACATTTTGAACAAACTAGACTCAATTGAAATCAACAATTAAAGTCCATTTCCATACCATTAAAAAAGACGACATTATTGATAGAATAATGTCCAAGATAAATATACTTAATGAATCATTTATATACATTGTTTATGATTTGATGATAATTCCCCACATTATCAGACACTTCATTTTATTCTAGAGATAGAACTTGAAATGTGATCTGAGTATCATGTTTATTTTAGGGAGTTTCTGTTCCGGTGTATAGGAGGGTTCAAGTACTTGCATGAATCCAGTTTTTAAACTTTAAGTATAGACATTTCACACCAGTCAAAGTATGATGCAAATAAATGCATGTGCAAGCTGATAGTTACTAAACATAAGTACGTTAAACTGTTTACTGTATGCTCATATGTTTGTTATGTAAATAAATTGGGGAATAAAGGGAGAAAAATATAGTTAAATCAACTAAGAGGGAAAATGTATGATTCACAAAAGTAGTTTTTATGCCCCCGGATCGAAAGATCCCGGGGGTATATTGTTTTTGTCCTTTCTGTCTGTTTGTTTCTGTTGTCAACTTTAACCTAGCCCATAACTATTGCACTGTCAAGGGTAAGGCTTTAATATTTGACATGAGTATTCATTATGACAAGACCTCTTCAATTGGTACAGAAATTTTTGATCATGTGACCTCAACTGTGGCCTTTGACCTACATTTGAAAAACTTTAACATTGGCCATAACTATTGCACTGTAGTCTACGTCCCACTCCAGAATTGTGTTACCATCGGGGGCATAGTGTTTCACAAACGCATCTTTTTTATATAAAGCCCAGAAATTGTTTATAAATAATTAAAGATTTTGAAAATATGTTTTTGTTATCTCTACTGGTCAGAGACCAGAAGAGTTTAAATGCAATCAGGGGTTTTCCTGGCTTGTTTTTGGGTCCGATTACCCGAGTCAACTTGTACACAAGGTTTTTGTTGTGTGAATGTTCCAAATGTGAGAAGTCAGTTCATACACAACTTAAGGTGTCCATCTGTCTGCCTGTCTATTTGTCTGTAAGCAATTTTTAGCTCTACTGGTCAGAGACCAGAAGAGCTTATGCGATAGTAAGGTGTCCGTCGTCCGTCCGTCTCTCCGTCTGTAAACAATTTTTCAAAAAGCTACTTCTACAGTTTTGGTCTGATTTCAACATAACTTGGCACATAAATAGACTACCTTAAGATACATAATTCTGTATATCGGTTTTTGATTTCAACGTACAGTGTTGCCATGGTTACTAAAAATAGAGATTTTTGGGAAATACTTTCAAAATGCTACTCCTCCTCCTACAGTTTTGGTCTGATATCAATATAACTTGGCACACAAGTAGAATATACTAAGATACATAATTCTGTATATTGGTTTTTGATTTCATTGAACGGTGGTGCCATGGTTACTAAAAATAGAAATGTCTGTAAATTACTTTCAAAACGCTACCCATCCTACAGTTTTGGTTCGATTTCAGTATAACTTGACACTCAAGTAGACTACATTAAGATACATAATTCTGTATATCAGTTTCTGATTTCAATGAACAATGCTGCCATGGTTACTAAACATAGAAATTTCTGTGAAATACTTTCAAAACACTACTCCTCCTACAATTTTGATCTGATTTCAATATAACTTGGCACACAAGGAGACTACACTAAGATGCTTAATTCTTTATTTCGGTTTTTGATTTCAATGAATTGTGTTGCCATGGTTACTAAAAATAGAAATTTCCTTGAAATACTTTCAAAATGCTACTCCTCCCACAGTTTTGGTCTGATTTCAGTATAACTTAGCATACAAGTAGACTAGACTAAGATACATGATTCTCTTTACCAGTTTTGAATTTCCATGAACGTTGTTGCCATGGTTACTAAAAATAGAAATTTTCTTGAAATATTTTCAAAACGCTACTCCTCATACACTTTTTGTATGATTTCAGTATAACTTGGCATACAAGTAGACTACACTGAGATGCATAATTGTCGTTATTGTTTTTTGATTTTGTTGAATAAGTTTGCCATGGTTAATTAAATCGAAATTTCTGTGAAATTGTTTTAAAAGGCTACTCCTCCTACAGTTTTAGTCTGATTGCAATAAATCTTGCCACAAAAAGAGACTAAACCAAGGATCATTATTCTGTTAATTGCTGTTGCAAAGTTTCAAGTCCAAGTGCTACTTTTATCTTCGTTTATAAGTACAGCCAGTAGAGCTACAGTCTCGTCAAAGACTTCTGGTTCAAAAACGTGGTTTCAGCCCAAATTTTTTTTAGCTCCTCTGAGCTAAAGACTCAATTAAGTGAACTAATCTGATGGAAATGTGTCCGGTATCCATCTGTCTGCCTCAACTTTATATACTGTAGTGTTTAAACTTTTCACATTTTAATCTTCTTCAGAATACTACTACACTGGACAATGAAGACAAAATAAATTCATAAATTGTCACATAAAATAGATTTAATTTGTTCAAATCACTGACATTTTAAACATTTCTCTTCATAAATAAAGTACATGTATTTTTAATACTATAATGATACATTTTTTTCATAAATTAAAAAAAAATCCATACTGATAATAATATTTTATTCTTTTAGTTTTGAATATTTTTTATTTATGAAGAAAAATGTTTAAATCGTCAAGTGCCTGTGTCATTCAACAGGAAGAGAAATGTGATTCAGATGAGTATTGTGGTTCACATGCCTCTTGTTTATGATGAGTAATTATCTTACTGCATATTTATACATGTACAAGAAATGTTACTGTGTACAAACTTTGACTGCAGGCTTATAGGAAGTTTGAAGGACACTAATTAGTACTACCAAGTAAACATTCCTTGACCAACCCAACCCCCCCTCCCCCTTAATACTACCAAGCAAACATTCCTTGACCCCCCCCCCCCCCAAAAAAAAAAAAAAAAACCCACAAACAAACAAAAAAAGGTCATGAGATGTAATTATTGAGTGGGCACATCTATAAAGTAGCTTTCTTTTTTATAGTATATACTATATATCGACAAGATAGCAAAATTATTGAGGCCCCGCATGATGTTGCCCAAATGACCTTGGAAGTATGTCATTTTCATGACTTAAGGTCATGACTCCAAAATGAAGGTCATAGAATAATGAGTTACTGAAATTATGATACAAGGTAAATTTTTATGCCCCCGAATCGAAAGATCCCGGGGGTATATTGTTTTTGTCCTGTCTGTCTGTTTGTCTGTTTGTTTGTCTGTTTGTCTGTTTGTCTGTCTGTCTGTTGTCAACTTTAACCTTGCCCATAACTTTTGATTGGTTGGAGCTATCACTTTCATATTTCACATGTGTATTCCTTGTGACAAGACCTTTCTTTGGGTACCATCATATTTGACCTTTTGACCTTGACCTTGGAGTTTGACCCACTTTTACAAAATTTTATGAGACTTTAACCTTGGCCATAACTTCTGAACAGTTGGAGCTTGGGGTTTCAAACTTCACATGTGTATTCTTTGTGACAAGGCCTTCTTTTGGATACCAACCACTTTGACCTTTTGACCTTGACCTTGGACTTTGACCTACTTTTGAAAAACTTTAACCTTGGCCATAACTTTTGAACAGTTGGTGCTTAGGGTTTCAAACTTCACATGTGTATTCCTTGTGACAAGACCTTCCTCTGGATATCAACCACTTTGACCTTTTTGACCTTGACCTAGGAGTTTGACCTACTTTTGAAAAACTTTAACCTTGGCCATAACTTTTGAATGGTTGGAGCTAGGGCTTTCATACTTCACATATGTAATCCTTGTGACAAGACCTTCCTTTGAATACCAACGACTTTGACCCTTTGACCTTGACCTAGGAGTTTGACCTA